GTCTCTAGACTAACAATCATTAACACATAGTCAACAAAGTTCAAACCCCAATCATATCTGCGTCCAAGAAAACCCCAACCATACATGCACCGAACGAAAACTCCACAAAACAGCCATGAGATACCTAGTAAACCAGCAACAGCAAAACGCAGTTGTGAATCCCTGAATACACTAATTAGAGAGGGAACCCTAGTTAAACTAACTAACATTAATACAAACACTCAAAAAATTATCCACAATATTCAAAACTCTATATCCTAAGCAGTCATCGAAAAATTTCAAACCCCAATCATATATGCGTCCAACCAAACCCCAATCATCTATGCATCGAACCAGAACAAAGTAAAGAAGAACTAAACTCCTCAAAACAGCCACAAATTATCTAATAAACCAGCGGAGCTTCACTACTAATTAGCCATCATAACTATAGAATGAAGAAAATTATCACCACGGTAGGGAGTCCAAACGATCTGTCGTCCCTCTCAGCAACCAGAACCGGCACCTATCAGCTCCAATGCTCCTCATGTCGCAACTCTCATGGTGACGTCTTCCTCCAGTCAAGGCTCCGTATTTAAAACCAGGGGATGAAAACCCCTGATCGGTTGCAATTCGGTATGCGGCGGCGACCAGGATCTCGCCCGTCAGTTGTCCCCACTTCAAACTCCCTCCATTCGTCAACTGAAAAGGATTCCCGACAAATACCGACCGAGACCGGCCATAGCCAGGGGCTTGGTATCACCCCTGTGAAGCATACACCCCACCTGCGCCCGCGCGCCCTACACCACGTGTCGCCCCTGCCATGCCGCCAGCAAGCTCTGGCGTGCGAAGCCAAACACTCGTTGACCCCGTTGTGCGACCCCCCGCTGCCCTGTCGCCGCCATAAGCGACGAGTTAGCGCTGCGTTTTTTTACACACAACCCTTCCTTTTTTTTAATATTATTTTAAAAACCAGGAGTACCTCGCCCAGCTACGCGACCAGTATGCGGAGCCTGCTGCTAGTAGCTGGACAGGCCGAGGCTGAAAGGCTGGGGGAACACCAGGACGCAAAAAAAAAAAAAAAAAAAAAACGACAAAACATGAAGAATCACTAGGGACGTGAACGCACTCGGGTTCATTCTCCAAAATGCTAATGGGCATCCCCACACCCCTTTCGAAATGTGCAAAATGAGATGAACTTCCCTCTAGAACGTGATTGACGCTTTACTCGTAGCAAAGCCAATACCAGTGTCGGCCCAAAGGCCTAACTAAAACAACTCAATCATGACATAAACCAAGACATGCAATTTCACAGACAACCGGACTCCTGAAAAAACGGGAGAAGTAATCGGAGAAAGAGAGAGAGAGAGAGAAGAGAGAGAGAAGAGAGAGAGAAGAGAGAGAGAAGAGAGAGAGAGAGGAGGAGAGAGAGTATAAATGAAGAAAGACAGGGAAAAGATACGTCAAAGTCTCCCGAATGTAACATAGTAGGCTTAAAAGATAAACACTACATCCAGCCTATCGAGCTCGAACCAAAAGAGGACGTCATGTCCGTTATCGTCAAAACCTCGGTCGAGCTTCTCCGGCGACGACCCTATGCGTTTCATCCGGTGCCGGACCGGAATCATCAGGGGTCTCATGTCACAAAAGAGTGTCTGTTGACGTATCGAAGCGCCTATTTAAGACAACAAAAACCAAGGACTTCGCAGTTACCTACCAAGAGGACTTCCAAGTAACTGGTACCAAGATGGAACCGGCCCAATAAGGAGAAAGAGTCTGGATTCTCAGATTATGACGAGAGGAGGGGAGACAGTCAGAGAAAAGATCAAGACAGTGGATCGAAAAGACATTCGACTCAAAGTGTCGGAAAGTTCCAGAGCCTACATCCCTACTCTGGTTCCCAAACAAAGAAAACGTTACTGTATCAAGAAAGTCCAGACTTACGGTGACCTAAAAGGAAACTCCAGGCTCATAGTGGCCTGGAAAAAAAAGGGTCCAAGTTTCCACCATATGCCCCCTACGAAGGTCCAAATTTCCACAATATTCCCCCTACGAAGGTCCAGGTCTCCACGATATGCCCCCTTCCTAACTTACCCGCAGGGTTCTCTCCACCCTTTGGCGTCCGGGAAAAAACTTATCCCACCCAGTAAACAATCGAACCCAATGATGTCATTCCACTCCAAATTTCAGAGAGAAATTTATCAACGATTTGTCGAAAATCTCATCAGAGAAACCCCTCAAACGCAACTCAACTTTCAAGGCAAAGAGAAAGGAAGCAACAACAACAGACAAGCTAGTAAAACCTCTTCGCTCAATGCAGAAATGAACCAGCCACCGCCATTTTTTGTTGCCTGCTTACATAGGAACAATCGTCCTACAAACTCTGAAAACAGATTCCTTCACCCAAGATTGAATGCTGATTCTTGTGAACTGCCGCACATCTGACCCCGATCGGTCACTCGAAATTCTTAACCACACACCCCAGAAAGTCCCGGTCGCTAGACCTGCTCGTACATTCCAGCACCAGGTTTGCATTGTAACACTGTTCGAAAGCAGTCATGATCCTTTCATCCAATCTAAATGAAACCACGTCCCCAATGCTGTATTTCACAAAGATAGAGACATTATCAATGAGACGGATACCATAGACCAAACGATGGTCATTCCCCAAAGCAGATAAAAAGAAAAACTCAGAGAAGACACACAGAAGGCAGGCAATGGCTGGGCTTGAAGGTTTCCCCATCGGGATTCCGACTGATTACGACAAAATCTAAGGACTCCCACCCTTCCTGCTTCTTTCCCCTGCGCAACTTCGCTTCCTTTCCACGATTTTTCAGAAACACTCCTTTCACTTCATGTCCCTCCCAATAGTCGATTACCCAATCCAGGGCTCTCATGATCAAGGTGTGCGGGAGATTACAAAACATCTCCTTCACGTCGAAAGCTGCCGTTAACAAGGCTTCCCCTTGCTTAACGTTCTTATTGATCGCGTTCAGAGACTTCACCAACAAATCAGTGCTCTTGAGATTGAAATGTGACCCATTGGGCAATTCCCACACCAAGACATTAACTGGACGTGAAATTTTCCGACTAGCCCTGAAATAGCATTCCGAAAAGGAGGGGCAGATGGGCCTCCATCGGCTCACATCCTTGTGTTTTGGGACAACATATGCTTTACCAAACTCACCCTTCACATTCCAACGAGCAACCCTCTGCAGACCCTCCTTAATATAGTAGTCCCTAGCATGCAGAGTCAAAAACAACTCAGATTGGTCAATCGTCGTCAACCCGGGGTTGCAACAGAACAGTTTGTCCATTCCCTCCTGATAACGCACTGGGCAACAAACTAACGTATCGCCCGGGTTGTGGTCAATCGGCATGCGTACCAGATTACCCAACTTCCCCAACCACACTTTGATATTCTCCTCAGTGCAGTCAGAGCAATTCTCTTCCACGTCAGTCACACAATCAACCAAATCTCTTCGATGGATTTCAGAGACCTCGAAATCCAAAGAAAGCATAGAGGCCGAAATTTGCCGATGACATCGGTCTTCGACGGGCGCACAACGTTCTTATTATTCTGTAACCAAGCAGGCACCAACTCCCAATCATTCAAACGAAAAACAACATGGTCATTCACCCGCGGAAATTCCCCCGGTAGCCTGTGACACTCACAACTCAGTTGCATCTCACGCGCTGCAGAACGAAAATTAAACAGAAAATCACCTACGCTCTTGTTCTTGAGCCAGACCACCCTCATACGTCTTATCACCATCCTCCTCCATTCCTCGTCCGCGTCGGCGTTCATCACCATTTGCGAGCAAACAGATCGAATGCCTGCCTTACTCAAAGTTCCATCGTATGCAACGCGGACAACCAGCCGCTTCCTGATGTTAAATCCGAACTTTCTCCTGATAACCCTGGAAACAATAAGCCTCAGAGAGTATCTACTTCTTTTTTCGGAGAAAGCACGGATAGCCGAGAAGGCCTGGATTAGCATAGAAAAATCCCATTACATCAGATCACGGCGAGATGCAGGTTTGGATAGTAGTTTAACGAGGGTAGGTTTGAGAATCAAGGATTTGGACAAGAAGGGGACGATCGCAATAATAAATAGACTCGCCCCAGGGCGAAACATGCCTTTGTTTTTTTTCAATAAATCGACATTATCACCAAGACGAACCAGAGACGAACCGTATTTCCTCTTCAGGAGCTTCCAGTTTTCAGCAATCCTGTCTCCGCCGGTGCATGCAATCCCAACTGCAGAGATCTTTCTATCATTACAAAAATCCAGAATATACGAGAGGCGTGCGGAGGAGATACCAACAGTGGAGTGCAAGATTAGGTGGGTGCTCACTACACTTTTCTCAATAACCTTGCCTTCCCGCCTCTTCATACGTAATCGCTCTTTCTTCCCTGGTCTACGGCGTCGACCTCTACCCGAGGTATCCCGACTGTTAAGATGAGGGTTTATGAGACCAATCATATACCTCTCTAAACTTAATACATCATCCGTCCCACAACAGAACAACGGAAGGGCAACGTATTGTCCCACACGATCACGCCTCAACCAAGAATAGAGCCGATGGTTACGTTTGCCTCCCTCGACGACTCCCAGATTCGTAGCCCGATACACATGTTCACCCCACCTAACCGGAAGAGATCTAGTCGTTGACCCGACATACATGTGCTTACACCAAGGAGACACCAATACGTACACCAGAGGTCCATCATAATTCTCCAGATCATAACCATTGATCAGTAGATCCAGCAGATATGCCTTCAACTTACCAGCCCACAGAATCTCATCATGCAAAATCAGACCAATAACAACAAGGCGGAAGAAAACATTGAATCCTTTATCACGAAGGAAGAAAGAAGAACCAGCGAGTGATGACGGCACCGAGAGATCAGAAGCAGAGGAAAGCAGACCAGTAGAGGGAAGGATAGAGTCAACAGAAGAATCAAGAGTAGTATCAGACAAACTAACAGTGTGCCTCTTATCCTTACACTCATTCACAATTGACCAAAGCTTTGCCACGTCTGGGACGCCCCCCTATAGCTCAACGGATCTCTCGTCACCGTTCTCTCCATCGCATGTTCCCTTGGACGAGTCATCTTCCACATCAACGAACGAGCAAGCTTCTTTCGCGGCCGCTCCTTCCCGCAATGACGTCCCAAATCTTAGTTTAGCTCGATATTCGGCCAGTTCGCAAATCGTCTCTTCGACCCTCCCCATCTTGATACCTTCTTCCTTGCACAAAGGCTCCAGCCCAGCCTTTCTAAGTAATCTCAATTTCTTCTTCTCTCCCTCAATAAACTCCTCCCGGTCATTAACCTCAGTTGCCGTATTAGACACTTCGGCCACGGAAGCTTTCCCGCCAAATCTCCCTGGTGTGGCTTTGACACCTTTATGCGCCGATCGAAGAGCCACCTCCTCCAAACGTTCTTTCAAATTAGTTCCCCCACCCAGTCTAGTTTTAACGCCACTAGCAGTCAACTTGCTCATCTTCTCTTCGAGCTTCTTAACCTGCTGTTCCGCCTCCATTCGTTTCATTTCAGCCTCGGAGCGCTTCTTTTTCAGAGCTTCCGCTTCCACGTTAGCCAGTTGATGCAGATTCCGCAGATTTCGATATTCCTCTCTCCATTTGTCAGCTTCCCGCACATTATCGGTCCATTGTGGTTTCGGCGTGCCTCGTCCCGGGCCTTCAGGCGTATTCACAGTGACGCTCCCCCTCTTGTTACCCGGTCTTAATGCTTCATCCTTCCATTGGTTAGTTTCGATTGTGGCTTGTTCATTCTGTCCCCGTAGTGAACTCACCTCCTTCCTGAGCCCAGCGACCTCCTTCTCCAAGTCCCCCTTCATAAGAATCGACTGTTTCATCTCACTAATCTCCTGCTTCAGCGCAAAAATAGCATCCTCATTCACCTGTTTGTGCGTCACCTGCTTGCGCAAGTCCATAATTTCTTGCTGCAGATACATGACCTTGTCGTCACCCGTTTGGTTCATAAGTGCCCCCAATTTCTTCTTCAACTCCTCATTCTCTCATTTGAGACTGGTCAACACATCTTCCGTCCCACCAGCAGCGGACCCTCACGAGTGCCTTTCCCTTTGATTGAAGCACCCAATTCATCAAGCTTCTTCTCAAGGCGTTGACCCATGTCCGCCTCAAATCGTTCGTGTTCCCTCTTCCACTCGAACCGCTTCTCCTCCTCCTCATTCTCCTTCGTAACTCTTTCTTCCTCCTCCCTCCTTCTCGCTTCTCTCTCTTCTCTCTTTGTCCTCCATACATCTGTTGTAGCACATGTCCAGCTTCTCTTGATTCCTGGTCCACCAGTTCGGTCGACTCTGGGTGCCATAGCTTGATGTTCCCGCCGAACTCGCCGGTTGTTGACTAGATAGAGAAGGCGCATAATTAGCGGTAGACGCAGCGGCAGTGCCATTAGGGGGTGGTAACGTAAGTAAAGGAGCAGCGGTAGGGATAGCGTTGGCGCCAGTAGCTACCGACCTTTGCCCCCGATACGGACAGTCACGGGCCCAATGATTAGTAGCCCCGCACTGATAGCAGCCGTTCCTCACCGGACCTAGTCCCGCCATCTTTCTGCGATAGTCGGACCCAACCCCAAATGTAAAGAACTAAATCGAAGAAACACCTTATCGGCAATTCCTAGGTAAATCCGAAAAAGGAACGAGTCACACACGCGTAGTGTAATTCCTACAGTGGTTACAGCGTTGATAAAATGGTTGACACGTTACTCGTAGCAAAGCCAATACCAGTGTCGGCCCATAGGCCTAACTAAAACAACTCAATCATGACATAAACCAAGACATGCGATTTCACAGACAACCGGACTCCTGAAAAGACGAGAGAAGTAATCGGAGAAAGAGAGAGAGAGAGAAGAGAGAGAGAAGTAGTCGGCCCATAGGCCTAACTAGAACATGGCCAGATGCATCCGCCACATTTTTGTCTTTTTCACATTTTGATAGTGGTGTGGCTACGCCCAATATGAGCATGCCATCTGTGAGGGAGTCCAAGTTGCTGTAAGATTCTCGGGAAAAAAAAAAAAAAAAGTTGTTGTAAGATCTCTCATCACAAGAACACACACAAAAAAAAAGAAACGCCGCCGCGTCATCAGGAAGTGAAAAAAAAAAAAAAAAAAGATAAAAAAATCCCCCCCCYCCCCCCCCGAAAAAAAAAGATCAAGCAAGAAGGTTCTTGTTCTTTTGTCGGGAAGACATCGCCCTTGCACCCAGCCCATGTGGTCGGGGGAAAAAAAAAGGAAAAAGTGAAAAAAAAGAATGGTACACTGCATCACACGTGAGTGTTCGCGAACAGCTCAACAGCTCAAGAGTTCGAATCCTGATGTAATCAAATGGATATAACAACGTTAGGGCTACTTACCCCCATAGCCCCCTGCCTTTTTTTTTCCGTAAAGACACGCCCATTAGAGAGCATGCTGAACAAGTCTGGCAGACTCTGACAGACTCCGACAGACTCTTTCTCAGACTGTGCATTACTGCAGCTATGAGTTGGTGGCTTTTTTTTTCCTTTTTTTTCATACAAGGAAGAAGAAGACTGCAACTGGATCTTGGGTCAATAAAAAAAAAAAAAAAAAAAAAAAAAAAAHWTYTTGG